GTGGGAGAGGAGATGCTCTGCTTGTTGGGACGCCTGTGAGCAGAGGACCCAGGCCTGCTCTCAGGCAGTGGCCCGGAGCATGGCTTGAAGGAGGCTGATTCAGGCAAATAACTACAAGTTGTCTGGGCTTGAGTCTAGCAGGCCCAGATCCGCATCTTGCCTGAAATCCAGAGCCGAGGTGCGCTTCCTCGTGGCGTGGTGCAGTGCATGCTTTCCGCCTTGTGGGCCGTGGGAGACTGCCGAGGAGCCTTCAGAGTGCTCCCTTCCCTGCCTAGACTTTGTGTTTTTCTCCCCTGTGGAGCTCCCAGTGAGGGATACACTGTGAGCACCGGTGTTGGGTGCATGAAGGAACAGTTCAGGGAGGTTGCAGGAAGAGAGTGGCCCAAGAGTGGCCTACAGTCCAGGTACCTAGCGCCTGCTGGCGAGCAGCAGCCTCAGGATGCCCACTGCTTCCGCACAGCCTCTGCGTGCTCGTGGAGGGAATCCAGAGTGCCTGAAGGGGAGCTGGGCTCGGGCCCTGGAGGGACTTGCAGGTGGAGCTGACTTGTGCTCGTGTGGGAGTCTTTGGGACGAGAAGGGAGGCGCTCAAGACCTTGCAGAGGTGAAGGGGTTGCTGCGATGTAAGTTCAGCTGGCGGTGGGCACAGTCTTCCTCGCGGATATGGCACCATCACAGTTAACCAAGCGCATCCACCACTGCGGAGGCCTGCTTTGGGCAAGGGCTCACTGGCCTGGTGGGACTGTGCTGCTTCTGCACGTGTGTGCTCCTGTGTCCCAGTGCTCAGCCGAGCGCTTCGCGGCCGGTTGGCCAGGGGCTCCCAGGGCACATCGTGGCATACTCACCAGGGACAGGGCCGGCCACATCCCGAGAAAGCGCTCCGGCCCACACAGCAGTAGCAGCCCGTCCACCCAAGTTAGTTCCAGATCTATAAAGCCAAAGCGTAATTTTAAGACTGTAAATTTCCAAATACATATTTAAGTTGCATTTTGTAAACTTTTATGTTCAATAATGGCTTCATTTTTATTAAATGGGCCTTTTTTTCTTACATAAATTGAAATTTTCTCTGTGTTTGGGTTAGTATGTGGGTGGGCTGATTCTGAATGTAGAAATATTCGGAACCGTATATATTGCCGCTCACATATTATTTTGTTTTTATTCCTTTATTTATTGTGGAACTGGGGATTGAACTCAGGACACTGTGCTTGCCAGGCAAGTGCTTATTCTACTGAACTATCTCCCAAGCCCCTTCATTTGCTTTTGTTGCCACTATATTCCACACTGTTCTTGTTGCTAAGGTCCCTGGACTGTCCCAGTACAGAAAAAGAATATAGAACTCTTTTTCTTTGCAAAAGACATTTTATTTAAATTATTTCATATTCTCTAGCTTGTTTCCAAATACAGATAACTGAAAGTAAAGAATTTAGAAAGCTAAAATTCAAGCTGCTTTAGATTTTCATACCACATCCTCAGTATCATAAAATACGGTGAGCCAGATCCTTGTGTCCCGTACTTCCTCCCGTTCTGTGTGTCTGTTACACATCACACATGCTCTGTGTGGGAAGATGTAGTGTTCTAAGGAGAGGTTAAAAACGGAATCTGTAGGTCCCACAAGCCTGAGTTCTGACTGTGCTTCTTTCTTGGTAGGTGCGATTGAGTAAGTTCATTTCTTCAGAGGTAAGATGAGAATGACATGGTAGAGTCCTTGTTAGAAATGAATGGGATGTGGCTGTAGCGGTGGGAGAAGGGCGAGGATGGAAAGGGAGGAGCGAGAGGGGCGCCTGACGTGTGCATGCTGGCAGCGTCTCAGCAAACGCAGTGATGCGTACATTAATACAGCTAATTAATTAATTTTTATTCTTGTTTGTGCAGCATCTCACTACACAGCTCAAACTCGTAGTGATCCTGCTGTTCTCAGCCTCCCCAGCACTGGGATTACAGGCGTGCACCACCACGCTCGGACTCTGTTGTCGGCTCAGTGCACCCGGGGCCAGCACGGCAAGTAGTGCCAGGGACTACTACCTCTGCACTTGCCTAAGCAGGCGCTTCATCTGCTGAGCTCTCTCTGGCCCTAGTTGGTTTAGTAAAAGTCAGGCTCTGAAAGAAGCAGGATAAGCCATATAAAGAGTGCCTAGCACATTGTTACCAATTGCAAACGATCTTCAGTCATTGAGGAAGAAACGGAAATGTTTATGGAAGTATAGTTTCCTAGCCCCTTACAGAATGTCCCTTACCCTCTTAGTTTTACTGTTAGCCTCATAAAAATATCAGGAACCAAAAATAAAATAAAGGGCAAAAAAATAAAGTTTTCTATGTAGGCATCATTGTAGCAAATCCTGACCCCATTATAATAATCAAAGAATCTGTGCCCTTCATTTTTTTTTTTTTTTTTTTTTTTTTGCGGATTGAACTCAAGCCCTTGTGCTTGCCAGCCAAGCACTTTATTCTACTGAGCTATCTCCCCGGCCCTAAACAGCCTTTTTTTTTTTTTTTTTTTTTTCCTTTTTCTTTTTGGCAGAACCGGGGGTTGAGCTCAGGTCCTTGCGCTTGCCAGGGAAGCACCCATTCCACTGAGCCATCTCCCTGGCCCCCTACAGCCTTATTTTAAAGGAGCAGTGAGCTAGTCCCCAGAGTTATATGGTATCTGACAAAGTGATGCATTTTAAACAGTCTTGTTCTTTGTTGACTACTGAAAGAGACTGACTATACAAACCAGCCTGTCAAAGTGGTTTTAAGTCTTTAATTAATAAAACTCACTTTAAGTTTATTTCATTAAATGAGTTTCTTGTTTGTTTATAGACATCACATAATTTACAACTGTAAATTATAAATTCACAGTTCTATATCTTGGATTTTTCCTTTTGAGTAGTTCCTTTAGACATTGAGCACAGAGATATAATGGAACTTAGGATAAATTACTCTTAAGTTTTTATTTTTGAAAATGAAATGTGATGCCAAAAAAACAGTCACCATGAAAAATGACTTATTTTATACTGCTGCATGGACGGTGCGCCACCCCCCCCCCCATCCTGGGTTAACTCTTGTGCGCTTGCTCTCAAGGAATGTCACACTGCCTCTTCTTAGTCACTAGATGCTGACGCTTCCTCATAGGGGCAAGCAGCCTGCCAGAAGCTCCTTACGTTGTCTGGTCACCCTGTGCCGTCAGAGGCCTACTGGAGTTGCAGCCTGGATGGACTGTGCAGAGGCCATCCCTCTTCTTCAGAAAGGACGAGTCAGAGCTGTCGTTGTGCATCAGGATAGAGCCCTTAGAGCACCTCTTCTCATGCATGTGTCTGTCTCTGCTTGTGGTGGACAGCGGCAGAGTGAGCTCTGCCAGCGGCCAAGAGCAGGATGCTCCGCGGGCGGCCCGGAGCGGGGTCCGAGTACAGAAGCTCCTTGGGCTGCAGCTGCATCCGAATGGTGTTGGGCTCATTAGTGTCTTGATTTATGGGCAGCTATCCCTGCATGCTGGTGTAACAGAAAGTATTTAAGAAGATCTGAACTACACCCATGTGGGGCCCAGGGAGATGGCTCAGTAGAATAAGCGCTTCCCTGGCAAGTGCAAGGGTCTGAGTTCAATTCCCAGTTCCACCAAAAAAAAAAGTGGGGGGAGGGGTCAGGGACATGGCTCAGTAGAATAAGCACTTGCTTGGATGCCACCGCAGCCAGCAACCACATTGAACTACACCCATGTGTCCCTCTTAGATCAGTAGTTTTGAGAGGCAGGAGATTATCATCACCTGGCATCTTTGTAGGGCTCGTCTTCTTTCTTTTAACTAAACATCAAGATCACCCAAGATGGAGGAAGTGAAGTGAATTCTTTGTGAAAGAAAGCAGATGCTAGTCAGTTATTTGGGTCTTTTTTCCTCCTTTAAACATAGCATTTGTTTTACTAAAACATTTATTGAATTAAAATGTGCTGCCTATTCTAAATAGTGCATGTAGTGTAAAATATCTAAACTCACTAGTTTTGACATATGGAAAGTTTAAGCCTTTAGCCTGGTTTAGAGTTAAAGGTGGCTCTGTTCCATTGCAGTTCTTTGAGACAGTCTCACAATGTAGCTCTCAGTGGCCTGGGACTCAGTGTGTCGTCCAGACTGGCCTTGAGCTCTGAAGCCCCCTGCCTCAGTGGTGCTGCGATTCCAGACAGGCGCTCCCACCCCCAGCTGTTCTCTCTCAGTGTTACTTTCTTTGAGACAGGATCTCAGTAAATTGCTGAGGCCCACCCTGGCCTCAGCCTCCTGGAGTGTGGGGGTGTCTAAGCCTGCACCACCACACCCAGTCTAGATTGTTGCGGACGGTTGGCTGATCGGAACATGGTTGGGACTCTAGTGTGACTTTCCGTTTTCTTGTGTTCAGACTGTTTAGTTTCACTTTCGCATTCTAAGTTGGGGTCTCCCCTGCTGACCCACTCTGGCAGCTGAGCTGCAGCCATGTGCGGTGCTTAGCTTGTCCTGAAGACCTGCTGGCATCGGTGTGCACGTACAAGGACTAGGGCTTGCAGTGACCTAGAAAACAGTTTAAAAATAATTTCCTTTGTGTTACATGCTGGTAAAAGGAGCGATTTTACTGTGCAAGGACATCCGTGCCCCTGTTCTCAACTGGCTCACAGGACTCAGGAACCAGAGGATGGGGATGGAACGGCTGGTTAAACAACTAAAAATACTAGGTAGTACGGCTTTGTGAATTGTACTTTGCCATAGCTTTGACAGAGTTTATCTGAAGGTGTTTTATTGTGCAGATGTATTCATTCTTCGTATTTTAATAGATTCGCCGGTGATGCCCCAGATTAATTTTTGGTGCATTTTATTTTAACCCTTTGTAAAGTCTTTCTGTTGGCCTCCTTTGATTTCCCGCCTAATGGTGGAGTGCCACGCCAGCTGCTCTGAGCTGGCCTGACAGTTATCCTTGTGTGCTGCTTTAGAGAAGTGATTCTTCCGAATGGCTTCATCTCAGCCGTGACCGACCGGGTGAGTGAGTGATGCTCTGTTTCTTTGTTGCAGACATGCCAGTATTTGGTCTCTGTCCAGCCCATGATGATTTCTACTTGGTGGTGTGTAACGACTGTAATCAGGTTGTCAAACCGCAGGCATTTCAGTCACATTATGGTAAGTGCTTAACCATTTAAAAACCATTATTAGGAGGTAAAAGGTAAAGCAGGATGACACTGAAGGTCATTGATTGCCTAGGGATGACATAGCTCTCCCTCACAGGAAATAGGCTTTCTGATTCACAGAATGGGCTAATACCTGTCAGAGAGTGAATATTTTGTGATTTTTATTGAAAGGTGATTCACATTTTCTGTGTTTTAACTGAAGTTAGAGAAAGTGTGTTTTACAAGCTCTCGCTTGCAATATTCTTACCAATGTAGTTATGGATTTGTTTCTTCCTTAATACCCATGGTGAGTTCAGTGGGTTTTAAACATTAATGTATATGCACAATTTAAAGGCACAGTGGTATGGCCCTTTTTTCCCCCTAAGGGAATGAGATTTTGAAAGTTTCAAGTTTTTTTTCCTCACTGCTTTTATAAATGCAGGCCTGAAACATACAAACAGTAGACTCTTCTGTGGAAAGAGTATATAAAAAAACCATCTTAGGGTCTGGGGAGATAGCTCGGCAGTCTGATTGCCTGCCTGGCAAGCACAGGGACCCAGGTTCAATCCCCAGGACTGCCTGCCCTCCTGCGCCTGGAACCCAGGGTGCAGGTCTGTGATCCCGGCACTGGGGAGGCTCAGCCAGGAGGATCACTGGGAGTCCGAGCTGTGTAGCAAGACCCTGTACCAAATCAGTCATTCCATCCATCCATTCATCTTAAGAAAAAGAAAACATCTTAGGAGGTAGCATGGGCCTGAGCTGCAAATGAGGAGTAGGGGCTGGTGAGATAGCTTGGCAGTCTAAAGCGCCTGCGTAGGTAAGCGTGCAGGGACCATGGTTCAACCCCCAGCGCCACGTGCCGTGGCACCCTGCCCTCAGGGTGGGCAGAGCTGGCCACATAAAAAGAGAGAGAAAGAGCAGCAGATAGCTGTCTGGAGTAAGAGCTCCCACAGGGAACGCAGAGCCAGCACCCAGACCGCAGGGGGGCCAGTGCACCTGCAGGCTTAGTAAAGGGGGTAGAAGCTGCTCAGGAGGAGGCAGCACGGGGCCTCGTCCCGGGTCTGTGTGAGAGGCAGCTTGGAGCGTTGGAGGGTGTGACAGGAGAGCAGCCCGGCTCTGTCTGGTTGGTCTGCTGAGAACAGAGCTCGGGAGATGAAGAGAGTCCGGAGGCCAGAGATGACAGTGGGCTGAGAGTTGCTGGACAGGAGAGCTGGGAACACTGTGAGGCCCATGTGCAGGTACATGGGCTTCCTTTTGTGACTGCTGCTGTCTTAAGAGTTACAACAGCATAATCAACCACCCAGCATTTCCCCCAAGGAGTAAGAACTAGATCTTACCAATGTGCACCTGGGAAAGCACCAGAGCGAGCTCGAGAGTGGGTCAGTTGCCATGGCTTTGCTCACCGTCGTCGTGAGAGGCTAGGGCAGGGGAGTTGCCAAGTATTTGGGAGTAAAGCCTTTGAAACTGGATCAAACTAAATTGACACGTCAGCCTACGAGAACTATAGGTTAGGTTGTTGTTGCTGTTGTTGTTGTACTTTGAGCAAGTTATCCAATCTTGATTTCCTTTTTATGGTACAGAGGAGAGAAGAAACTCCTAGGTTCCCAGGGGAAGGGGGTAACTGAAATAACATCAGTAAAGCCCCTAGTGCAAGCCTAGCACATAATAGACTGAGAAACAAGGGGACAGAAGACACATAGACGAGCTCTAGGTAGGAAGGTGTGCAAAATCATGAAATAGTCTAGGGCCTTAAGGGTGAGGAGGAACACAGATCACGTCCCAGTGAGCAGTTCAGACACATCTTGGAGAAACCAGTCTTCATATTAGCATGTCAACATTAAAGTAGCTGTGGCTGCTTTTCCTCAGTCTTTAAACATGGACTGTGTGCCCATGGAAAATGTTTCTAGTCATCTGTAACCCCTTGCAATGGGAAGCATTGCAACAGAAATAGGCAGGGCTGCGTGTGCACTGCCCATGTGGTGACCCAGAGTGGCCACAGGTGACATGAGCACACTGAGAGATGGGGGATCCCAGCTGTGAGAGACGTGCCACACAAAGCCATCCGTGGTGAGCCGGGAACAGGTCTCCTTGCCAGCAGAACCCCTGCCCTCGAGTGTTGGGAGACCCATTGCCAATGTTTCAGAGCCAGAGTGGCGCAACTGGGTGGTGCTTCAGGGAATCGACAGGTAGAGCACGTGAGAAGGGCAGTGTGAGGAAACACTTAAAGGTAGTACTTCTTCCTGGACTTTCTTAGCAGAGAGACCCTCCTTGTCACCTTCTTGAGGAGGGCTTCACACTGTGTTGACTAAATATTTTGTATGGAGGTTTTGAATATCCTGTTTCCCTCTAGAATGTCCTGTTGAAGTGGGGAAAGTATCTTAAAATCATATTTCTGCCAGTGTCCAACACAGGGGGACCAACAGAGCCACTGGGTGAGGGCTGAGGCTGATATTACAGGGAGATAGTAAAGGTGGGAGGAAGAGTGGTACCTGTGGGTGGGGACAGCGAGGAGCTGTGTGACAGGGTCAGGTACGCTGTGGGTGCCCTGGAGGTACGCTCCTCGCCCTGGGAGAAACAGAGGGGGAGGGTCCCTAGGCCAAAAGCTATCCCAGTGCTGCCACGCTCTCTTCTGTTCTTGAGGACTGGTTGCGATAGGAGTATTTTAGGGAAAACTTCCTTTCTCAGTGGAAATTCGGAAGGGCAGTTCTTGCATTCTCTTTTTTTATAGATAGTAATAGCACAAAATGTCACTGAAATTCAGAATCTTTCTAAGTAACTGTTGTAGTCTGTTCATTAAGGTACATAAGCTCCTTGGCTTTCTGTTGCTGTGAGTCCACTGTAATTTGAAAACTCCAGAAGTCAAAATTGCATTCAATCCATCTAACCCAGCAGACGTCCCCCTGTGCTCACTGCTGCTTAGAGCTGCTGTCTCCTGCAGTGGCCAGGGCTGTCCATGCTGTGCTCGTGAGAGGCTCGTGTGCATGTCACCGGCCAGGACACAAGCGAGCTCCTAGAGTACAGGTTTCTGTGTCTCTGTCGAGTCGGTACTGCCTTCACCAAGAATGGTGAAGTTGAGCTGCATGCTAAGTCAGGAGCCGTTTGTACTGAGGAGTCCAGCCTGCCGAGGAAGGGACCATCTGATTCTTCTGAGGAAGTGTGTGCAGTCTCCTGTGCATCTGAGTGCTGCAGGCTTCCGTCTGTGACTCAGGAACAAGTGAGCAGTCACTGAACAGTTCAACAGGCAGCTCCTAATCCCAGTGACCGGGCTGGGGACGCCGCTGTAGTCACAGGCCCAGCCTGTGAAAGGGTGCAGGGTAGGTTGTCATGACCTGGTGAGCAGCTTGTTGTCCACAGAACCAGGGGCCACGTGCTTTTTTAATGCCAGCAAGCCACCTTTTGGGGCAGTGCTGACTAACCCAAGTTCCATTTCCCAGTGCTGGTGAATGGCTCATGCCGTGTAGGCACTGCCAGGTTCGTAGTCTGATTGCATTCATAGCACCATTCTGGAATCTGCATACTAAGCACTGTGTTTTCGTGTTTTGAAATACTCCAGCATGCCTTATACTTCTCTTCAGTTACTCAGCATTTTAAGAGCAAGATGTTTCTTACTGATAATTGCAGATTTAGAAATGTGATTGGAATTGGTGGATCCAAAACTATGCTGTGCATCTGAATCACAGAGCTGTCTATGTGGGCACCGTCCCCAGACCCACTGCAGATGCCCCTGGGTCAGACTCCAGGGAGAGACCCCTGGGTGTGCTCCAGCTCGCCAGCTGGCCGGAATGCACTGCTTCCACCCAGATCCTGCCCACCATGGTGGAGGGACTGGCACAGGCACGGGTCAGGTGTGTTTCGGCTTGCAGTGATAGCAGGAAAGGAGGGGTCTATTTTTAAAAACTAGTTTTAAAACCATGCATATGTCAGCAGTGTTGCATTCTGTCTGTCTGTCTGTCTGTCTGTCTGTCTATCTATCTATCTATCTATCTATCTATCTATCTATCTATCTACCTACCTACCTACCTAGGGGCCAGGGAGATAGCTCAGTAGAATAAGTGCTTGCCTGGCAAGCGCGAGGGCCTGAGTTCAATCCCCGGTTCCACCAAAAAATAAATATCTATCTATGTATCTATCATCTAGGTTTTTTGAAACAGAGTCTCACTGTGTACTCTAGTCCAGGCTGGCCTTGAGCTCACTAGGAACTCACTAGGTTGCCTAGGCTTATCTCAAATCCATGGCTATTTTTCTGCCTCAGTCTCTGAAGGGCTGGGATTATAGGTGTGTGCTCACATTAATTGCTTTAAAAACTTGTAAGTATGACAGAGGGCTGAGATGATGTGAGGCAGAAGCAGCATTCTTCCGGAGTTAGTATTGGTCCTGTGCTTCCAAGTAGCATAGCCTGCAGCTTCTGTTAACAAACTGCCCCCAGCAGGGAAGGACGGTGCAGTGCTGGAGCTTCTGGTGCCCTTGGGCCGTTTGCTGGTCTCCGGAGGCCCAGCTGGCCTATGTGTTTGCTGTGCTCCTCTTGGCTACTTCACTGTGCTTGTGACTGAAGAGTGCCCTAGTTGTCCATTTTTTCACTGGGACAGATAGCACAGTTAGAATCTCATGATTAGTCGAGACCCCACTCACAGGGCAGCTATTTGTCAGCTGTTGAAGTACTTTGTCTTAGCTGGGCTGCACAGCTTGTTCATCTTTTGCGTCAAGTTTCCAAGCAAGGTGCAGTAGTAACATGTGGCTCACCCATCTTTTCCAGAAGTTAGCCACATTCTAGCTTTAAAGTTTTCACACAGTTCCATACTTTTTTTAAAAAAATGTATTTGGTACAGGTTCTCTCTTTGCAGCTCAGACTCGTAGTGATCCTCCTGTTCTCAGCCTTCCCAGCACTGGGATTACAGGCATGCACTACCACTTCTGGTGTCAGTGGCCAGCTCGGCATGCCCAGGGGCAGGGCTGGCGGGCTGGCATGGCATGTGGTGCTGGAAACCGAACTCCAGTCCCTATGCTTGCCTAAGC